TAACACTCCACCTGCACAGGGTATGAACTTCGAGGCGGTTCTAAATTATAGTCTTAAGTTCTTGTATTTCTCATTGAAAGTAAAAAAAATTTAATTTAAAATTCTAATTTTTCGCCCCCCCCCCCGGACATTTACAGTTTCAAGGTGATTTGGTCACTAAACTCTCCTAAATCAGTTTCTGTGACTTACTGTGAAGCTGCCCATTATTACTGTGAGCAATAAGCTTTTTTACGAGCAGCAGTGAGACTTGTATTGCCTTTGGTATCGCCTCTCTGAAGTTTCTGGCGCTGTATACATCCTGAGAAAAAGACTGCAGGCGGAACTCTGGGCTGATTAAAGTCCTCCCACCTCCACTGAATATTTGCTGGGGAAAAAAAAATATAATTTCTTTCATGGTTTTATTTACAGTTATTGTTCTCTCCTACCAACAGGCTGGAATTGAACATCACTGAAAGATAAAGCATTAATAAGAAAATTTTATTTTTTATGGAAATACAGCATTATTTATTTATAAGCCTCAGGTCTCTATCAAAGAAACTAAACATATGTAGGGTTAGTGCATTAATAATGCAGCAATTTACATGAATTTCTATTTGTTTTTGTGATACTGTGATAACACATTTTTCATATAAGCGACATCGTATCCATATCATGAAAATGCTCTTTGAAAAAGATGTTTCATTCTTGCTTTGTTTGGACTAATCAAACCAGTAACCAGAGAAAGGAATGTCACGGTGCTGCCCAGACTGATTGATTGACATGGTCTATGGACATTGCAATGACTGGTGGTCATTCTCGTAAGGGGCGCTTCACCTGCATTACGCCCCCCAGCAATTTCAAACCGTCTTCATCAACCTTGTCTTTCTCCACCTTTTTATCTCTTATGTTTCCTCCTTTGTCTCCTCTCCTCTCCTCCTCCTGTTTACTTCTCCTACCTGCAGCAGCAGCAGCAGCAGCAGCAGCCAGAAACCATCCTACTGTCTTCGTTTCTTTTCCTCTTTCACACCCTCCTCCTCCTCCTCCTCCTCTAGGCATGGCAGTTGTAATGGCATTGGGGATGGTGGGTGGGTAGGGGGGAGTGGGAGGTGTGTGTGGTTAGGAGGGGGGGGGCACATTAGAAACATCCCCTCTGTGATAAGCTGCAGCTGGTTACCATAGCAACGCTTATTACAGTCCCTGCACCCTGAGACGGGGCGGGGGCGGGGGCGTGTGGGGGGGGCAAGCCAGACAGAGAGAAAGGTAGTGGGTCAAGAGATAGTGTCCTGATTGTGTGTGTGTGTGTGTATGTGCAAGAGTGCGTGCGTGTGTGTCTGTGTGTGTGTGTGTGTGTGTGTCTGACAAAAAGGCTTTAGTTCATTGGCTCTTCATTAGATGCTGTACATCTGGTAAAGGCTGTGCAGTGGGAACGCTGCTTAAGGATAATGAGGGGACACACACCCACACTTACACACACACACTCACACATATTGCCCTCCAACTACCCCCATACCCACTCAAAACCCCAACCCCCCCACGAATGCCCGCCCCCTTACACACACACACACACACACACACACACCTGTCACCCTGGTCTCACACACACACACACAGACACACAGGTAGACAGGCGTCCCGCTTCCTGTCGCCAGGATATTTAACACAGTTCACCACATAACAGGTTGTGTCATGTGACTGTGCAAATGAAATATCCTTTCAGGCAGCCATGGACTGTCAGGCTCCCGATGTCTCCACGCACAGCTTAAATTGTGATTGAAGTCGCAGTCTAGCGTCAGCTGTGCGTCACCCGATCCCGTTTCTGTTTACCCATGTGCAGGAGAACAGGGTTTTTCCAGTGGACAGAACATAGCTCCACTAATCAATATTTTTATATTAACAATGGATTGAATGAGTATATTAAAGGGATCACAGTGGAAAAACCTGCAGAGAATAATCACCACCAGTTTTAACCTCTTATTTAGTTCATTGTTGTAGTTTTATGTTTTCCACTTTTTATTTTGAAGCTAAACCGCTGGACATGTTTAATTTAAACAAAAACATAATACATAAATGATAGTCATGATACTAAAATAAACAGCCCAGGGAAACATTCAACATAGTAATATCAACAAGAACAAACACACAAGGGCTCTTCAACATCCCCAAACCACACTAGTGTCATCTGCACTAAATTAATGAGAAGTAAAATAAGTTAACATTTACTTCATCAGTCCGTGTCAGCGCTCCTATCAAGCTGTCTACATAAAGTTATACATCACCAGACAGACCAAGTTAGCGACTAGCTTGTGAGGAAGGTAGTGGAGTTGTGTATATAAAATAAAACCAAGTGCATCTGAAAGACAAGCTCAGTGATTCTCCGACAGAGCCGGAGTTACCTCACTGTGCTTGCTGGTTACCGGCAGTCAGTCAGGACAGACCGGGCCTCTTCCACTGCTGAGTTTGGTTTGAAATGCCGCATAGATGTTCCCTGACCTGGACTTACCTCAGGAGGTGGACACAAACACAAACATATCTCTGAGTTTTGAATTGTTGGTCAAACAAAACACGTGGAATGATGGAAGCACCTGGGGCTTTGGGGAAATTGTGATAGATATTTTTCACTATTTTCAGAAACTATCATGTTTTCACCAAATGTCTTCTTATTTTGGACTAAATCCTTAGCCAGCTGTCTCATAGAATCAACCTTTGACTATTGTGAGCACATGCAACAGATCATTTTGAGATTCTTGGTCCTTTTCTGCATGTTTTTTTCACTCCCATGTGGACAAAATATCCGAAACGCCATTTGATATGCTATAATCCAAACAGTAACACAAACTAAAACCTCCAAGCTAACACGCTTAGTATAAACGTGTCCAATTATGTGGAGGAGAAATTGTATTTCTCTCTGCACGCTGCAGGTTCTTCTAGACTGTTTTCAAGTGGGGAAACCAGAGACATTGTCTGTACATGATGTTTTTACCTCCTAATTGCTGCAGTATAAATTCTTTCTGAGTGGCCTTGAACTCTCTGTTTACTAGTCACTCAATTATTGTTAGAAACCTTCCTCACTGTTGCAGAAAATAAGCTGTCTACACACACAAACCCACAAATATAGTCTTCACAGCACTCCTATAGAAGCATACAAAGACACACACCTACACTTACTCACCTGTAAGGTCAGCTCTTATTGGTTACCATGGCAGTAGCAGTCTCCACCATGTGCTACTAGTTTGCAGCTGGGGAGGTGTGTGTGTGTGTGTGTGATGCACCACCTGTTGTTATCCACTGACTCCTGATGGGTTCTCTGAGCAGGTAGTGAAGCCCTCCCCCTCCCCCGTCTTTCTCTCTCTCCCCCTTCCCTCTCTTTCCCCTGTCAGTAGCTCTCCCTTCATTGTCTCTCTTCCAGATTAGACAGACATACAGACTCACATTTCCCTGGCTTTCCTTCTTTACAGAGGTACAGCTCACACTCCTACAGCTTTGTGGGGTAAAAAGGATGGTTCCCAAGACTTCCTGGTATTCCCAGAGCAGACACAGTGATCGCTCTGTCCTTTGGGAAGTTTAGTTAACATGTAATAGGTGTAGAAGTCTTTGTCTAATTTAGCGCTTCTCAGTCATTACAGGATAATTATACGCCATGAATTTATTTCACACCATTAAACATAAGAGGAAATTGACATGTTGGCAACACTGAAACCTTTCATTACGCCTAAAATATCTACAGCTGCTAAAGACGGGCAAGATGTGTGTGTAAAGACCTTTTTCACATGACTTTCACTCCATAAATGTTCCAGTTTTACATGTTGCCTTTATGTGTAACATAAACATGGAAATGTATGAAGAAAGAATCTAATACATTTGGCTGTGGAAGTTTCAGGGTGCAACCTCTAGATGGGGTTTCTGAAATGTAGACGAGCGGGTGAAAGTGCGACGCGTCATCTGTCCTCCAACACGGCACGCAGAGATGCCTTAATGAAAATGAACAGCACACTAAACCAAGAGGAGGAAACTAAAAAATAAAATGAAGTTTAAATGAATTTTGCATTTGACTCTGTTCTAAAACTTTTATACACATCTAGAGAGGTCTGTTTGTTACATGAAGTTCACCAGCGACTAATCTTCATAAACAGAGTTACTCTAAACTGAGCCCTACAGATGACACGTAAAAGAAACATAAACCTTTAAATGTGCTTTTGATAGTAGATAGAAAAGAGTCAGGAACGGGGCCCTTATTTGAAATGAAAGTCCTTGTTTTCATCCGCTGCTATTGCAGCGAGATAGTAGTACTGTAGTGCCAGACTTTTCACTTCACTTATTGTGGTCTTACGAGAGTCTAAAGGATGTGAGAGGAAACTGGCCTTCGGCGTCACTTTTAGCCAAGCTTTTTTTTAATTTAGTTTTTTTGTTTGTTTTCTGTATGTAAATGCCCTTTAAAATTTAATGTATTATTGTTGTTATTATTAAAGACACTAGCTTTGGCAAGACCTTATTATAAATAGAACAATGGACAATTGACAGATGTAGAGCTGCAGCTAACAAATTCGCGATTGATTTTAATTTGTTTATTAATTTTACTCATTTAGTCTATACAATCTCAGAAAAGGGTTCATAAAGACACCGTAATACATTTACAGAACCCAAGGTTGTGTCATATGTTTTGTAAAATCAAAGTCACTTAATTTACAACTATATAAAACGGACAAAAGCTGCAAACCCTCATAGTAATATTTAGATTTTTTTCCCTTAATAAATGAGATTTTTCAATAGTTTGTTCCTGCAAATCATATCATGTACACTCTCGACATGTTGTGCTTTTCCACACTTGAGCAATGTGTAGTTTAAAAGACCATAAGAAATTCAGAGTGTCACTGTGACATAGTTGTTATTGCAACGTCTCTGCTTTGATTCTGTTTTGAAATCTGTTGCATGTCAGTCCGTCCCCACAGGCTGAAATGCCAAACAAAACTAAAACATTAAAAGAAAGTTAGTAAGTCGAGGTTTCTCTCTCTCTCTGTTTGCAGTGCGTGGACAGCATGTCAGGGGTCGACTCGTCCCTGAAGCGCGTGGCGGTGGTGGAGGATTTCTTCGACATCATCTATGCCATGCACGTGGAGATCAGCGCCGATCCCGGCAAAGCCCCGAAACACGCCGGCCAGAAGAAGACCTACAAAGCTGTAAGAATGCTCAACATTCACACTACATTCGCACCGTCATTAGTGAAAGACATTTTCTGCTTTCGTTTTGAATCTGAATATTTGAATCTGTCTGAAACCTTACTCTTTCACTGTTCGTGGTTGCTGCTCGTGCATGTTTCGCTCTCGCTTTGTCGTCTGTCTCTTACTTTTTAGCTTTCACCCCTCTATTTCTTCACGCATCTACTGCAACTCATACCAACCTCTGCTCTACACAGAGTGCATTCTCTCTTTCATAACCTGTGTCGTCTGTTGCTTAATGTACTGTCCTCTCCCTTTCTCTCTCTCTCTCTCTCTCTCTCTCTCTCTCTCTCTCTCTCTCTCTCTCTCTCTCTCTCTCTTCCTCTTCTTTTGGGGCTTCATTCCTCTTTTACTGTCTCTGGCAAAAAAAAAGAGACACGCTGGTCGAGTTTGAGTTTCAGATCTGCTGGATTTCAGTCTGAATGTTTCTGAAACAGACATTTTCTATTCAAACAGACAATTTCTTCTGCTGGTACTTTTACTTTGTGTGTTTCGATCATTATGTAAAATGACCAAACATTTCTTATTCCAGCTTCTCATATGTGAGGATTTACTGCTTTTCTTTGTCTTAAGTGATATTAAACTGAATATCTCAGAGTTTTGGACTACCGGTTGGACAAAACAAGCAATTTAATGACATCACCCTTGGCTTTAAAAAAGTGTGATTGTCCTTTTTTACTATTTTCTGACATTTTGCCGACCATTCATTATAAAACAATATTGGAAGATTAATTGATAGATAATATTACTGTTAGCTGCTGCTCCAGGTATTTGTCCAAATTAATTTATTAAAAACACAGCAGTTATATTTAAAATATGGCTGAATTAAATAGCAATGAGAGTCCAGTAAATTAATTCTGAAATAATGTTTTTTATAGGTCACAGAAGTGCGCTACCTTCAAATATCAGCATCACTGTTATTCAGGAAATTATATTCCAACTGTATTTCTTATCCTTTCCTTTTGTTTTATCTCATGATCCCTGACGGGACTACATTAATTCTCCAGCCACTAATGCTGTATCCTAAACATAATCCTAACCTTAGACCCTGGGGACACCTGCACTTAACTTGTTGGTAATGGAGGCAGATGTAGAAACAGATTCAGACTGTGAGTTTGGGAGTTGAGACACAACTGAAAGTAAATCCACCTGTGCTGCTGTTGGAGCCTGTGCTTAGCCACTCTGCTGTCTCAGCTGCTGACACTGCCCTCTTTTGGTGAAATTGAGGAAGTACAGCTTCCACAGATTTATGCCTTGGCTGAGAACTGAAGTTGTGACAGCTATGTCAGCCAGCTGGGACTTTTGTTTTGTTTATATCTTTTTACTTTTATTTATCTTCTTTAGCAATCTCTACACCATTCATCGACATAGTTCCCCCCCCCCCCTTTTTTCAAAGTTTTGAGAAAAAAGATTGGTCTTGATCTGTCAGACTGTCCTCTGTCCTTCTACAGTAGGTATTTATGTTTATATGTATGTATGTATATAATGTATATACAGTATACTTAAAGCCAGTTGGTAGGTTATCATTCCACATACTTCAGGTGCCACCAAAGGCTGTGAGTGACATTTGCCTTTGTTTTACCCGTTCCTTCCACACACACACACACACACACACACACACACACACACACACACACACACAGGTATAGAGGCTGCATAGCAACCCCCATCCACCCACGCTGGCTATTTTCCACCCTTCCTCCTTTTTTCTTTTGTGTCTTTGTGCCTCTCTTCTAGAATAAATGTTTGATTTATGAAAAATGCACACACCCACAAATGTATAGACCTCATATCCTCAGCATCACTCAGTGCAGAAAGGTATTTTTTAAATTCACATTTAAAGAAAGCAATTAAAAAGGGCATATATCTTACCGTTCCCGACTGTTTTTGTTTTTATTTGATGAATTGGAGAAAGTTTGCCTTTAATGATAAAGAATAGTTTGTTCTGTACTTAATAATCAGCTATAAACATTAGATTTTATTGTCAGTCCCTTTAGACTAAAGTTGTTTTTTTTTCTTTGTAGTGCCTTGACCTGATGAGATCACAGACCAGACAGAGCAAGTGAAGATCCCCTTTCTCACTCATACGATAATCAAACGGGGTTGTTTAAAAAGAAGAAAAGAAATTACTAACTAAAAAGGTTCATTCATAACACCTCAACACAATATTCCTGCCGAAGTGCAAAGGCAAACAAAGTATGAACAGGAAGTAAAAAATAACTCATTTCCCAGACAATCATACATTATTTGGCAGTGCTATTGTAAAATGGGAATTCCAGCTTTGTGATGTGTGTGTATTTGTCAGTAGTGATATTCATGCGACATGATCCCGTCTTGCCCCTTTTTGCCCAAGCTATTTAACAATATACAACATTTGTCATCTTATATCCTAGGCTTGACTGAGAATTGCTGCATTCTATAAATCAAAGAAAATGTTTTAATATAATATACATATTTTATTATATTTCAATTTTTAAAGAAGTGACGATAAGTGATGCAAGTGATGCAGCTCTGTCCAGATCCCATCATCGTACAACCGTTTGGCTCTTTTGTCATCAGTGCTTTAAGAAATGAGAAAAACAGTTTAAACACTCTCTCTCCCTCTGGCTCTGTCTCGCCCTCAGATAGCGGAGACGTACGCCTTCCTGCCCAGAGAGGCGGTGACTCGTTTCCTGATGAGCTGTGGAGAGTGTCAGAAGAGGATGCACATCAGCACCACAGGACAGGACTGCAAAGGTACAAACACTGCAGCAAATGCCCAAAAGAGTGAGCGCTCTGATCTCACTTTGAGTCTGGGGACCTTTTTTTTAAGTACAAATGACATCTTACAACATCTTACAGTCAGTGGGATCATTTAAGTAATGATCTTTCTGCGGTTTCATTGCAGTTCTATTTTTCTGGCACAAACGGTTGACAATAGCCGTGCCTGAAATAATGTTCTCGATGATGGAATAAAAACAGTACTGTCTTCTTCTTCAGAAGAAGAAGAACAGTCCCACAACGCAATTCATCAGATTTTCTAAATGGGAAACGTACAGTCCTGCAAAGCTATAAGTGATGACAGAAATTACGCTGGTTTATACATGTCTGAACTCTCTTTACTCACCACAAAGTGAACTACTGCGTATCATTATATCAGGAGTGGTGACGAGTGAGTGAACAAGGGAGTAAAAGAGGAACTCCACCGATTTCAAAGTCTGTTTATTTGTCGTGTTGTGTGTCACTTGAATCAACATCCATTGGGTTTAAAGAGTACAAGTTTGAAAATCATTTAATCTGGGGGTGTGGAGTTAGAAAGAAGTGAGCTTAGCAGAACGCTGTAGCCTGCTACACTTAACCACAAAGTTTCTAAGGAGTCCTCCCTGTCGCTCACTCTTCCTCTTCTTCCAGCTTGTTCTCTTTGTCATCTCTCTCTCTTATTCGACTTCTTTCTCTTCAGTGCCATTCATTCATTTGCCCTCCCCCCAGATTTGTACTCCTGTGAGGCTGGAAATGCATTGTTTCTCCTTGAGATAAAAGTTATATTGTTAGCCTCTCCCTCCTCGCGCTCAGTCCCTGCCGCGACGCCTGTCACTCATCTTAGTGAGCAGCCGGTGGCCGAGCTGACCAACATCTTTGAAGCTTAAAACCAATGGTCACTGGTTTTAGATGTTTCGCTTTATTTTGTTTTCTTTTTTCCATCTTTCCTCCTTTCAAGCACAACCTCACTGTTGGCCATGCCCACAGGAAGTGGTTCAACATCACTACTTTCAGATGGAAAGTAGGAATAAACAAACAGATTTAAAGATGTGGAGAATATCCTTTATCACTTGTGAATAGTCTACATTTCTGATGCCTAACATAAAGAAGCTAAACATTAAAAGTGGCACTGATCTGAGCCCCATCCACACTACTACGGTTTTGTTTAAAACAGAATTTTAAAATGAAAACGATCTCTGTCCACACCAGCTTTTTTTAGCTGAGTTTCAGAGTTGATCTCCGTCGATATTTAAACGGATGAAAACACACATCTAGTGGCCCTTCACGTACACTGGGCATACGCGTGCCGGTGTAAACATGAAGCAGATGGTCTACTCCGCAATTGCAGAAGATTTGGCAAAAGAAGAAAGTACTACTACAGAGGAAGAACCACACCAGCGTTTTTTTTTATGGACCGACAACGAGGTGGAATTGTTAATGAAAGTAACACGAAGGGATTGTGTGGCGGAAAACGGACTGGAAGTCTACAAGATAAATACGGTGACATGTACAGTATAAGTGTTATTTGCACAGTACAACATATTTTCATGAAAATAGCAAAACAAAAACACTGTATGTAGCTTTCTGTTTTTTTTTTCTTATAAGACCCAATCAGGAAGCCAGATGTGAGTGTCTGCGTCATCGATTTTAAAGTCCTCCGTTTTTTACCTGTTCGCACTAAAACGCTACCCTGGAGTTTTAAAATGAAAATGGGGTCAGCAGCGTTTTCAAACTTCGCAGTTGTAGTCTGGATGGGAGGTGCAAACGTAGCAAAAAGTCTGGGTTTAAAAATGAAAACGTAGTAGCGTGACTGTAGCCTCAGCATTACACAATTGCGTCTATAACAATCAATCAGAATCCATGCAGTAGCAGCTAGTGCCTAGAGGCGGCAACCGAGAGAGGAGCGGGCTACAGAGGTTCTTTTTTACTCCACATCAAGAGATTTTAATTAACCTTACAGTCTTTTTTTCCTTCTTTAGCGTTAGGCCTCACATTTTCAGGTGTGAAGCTGAAATTCTTTGTGCTGTCCATTCTGGCTGTGGAGAGATCCTTTCCTGAGGTTTCCAAGTTAGAAGATCCAAACAGCAAAAATCACATTTCATATTCCAGGCAAAATCTCCACCAGGCTTCAGCAGTCTTTATGATACTACTTGCGTTTTTTTTTTATTTTTACGATCCCTCTGCTGCAGCTCAGCGAGGCAACACTGTCCAGGAAAACACAAACAGGTGAGTTTGGTAGACACCCACTTGATTTAGCTCACTCAGACTGCTGAAGCCTTATTTTATAGCAGCTTCACCTGAAATGAGTTAAGAAAGAATATCTTCAAAGCCAAAATGGAGAGGAGGAACAATTACAGCTGTTACAATGAACACGTGACGAGAGCATTGTTTTAAGAAGCTGTCCTTTAAAGCGCTACCAGACTCAGTGTGTTTATATGTGCTTTCCTTCTTCACTCTTTAATGTTGTCGCACCTTTACATATATCTTTGTGATAAAAGGAATATGGAATGTGAAATTTAAATATGATGTACAGTCATTCAACATAAAATATGTCCAAGTATCTCAATTAGGACATTTTCTGACCCTTTTTCTCAGTTAGCTTCGAGCCTAAAGACAAGATGCTGACATCCATTTTACATTCTTCCCCGTCCTCTCCTCTGCCACCCCTCATTATATATTTTCTACAACTACTGGTACCCTGAAGGCCCCCCTCCCCATCTTGTTCCCTCTTCAACACTCCCATCCCTCCCCCATCCTTCCCCCGTTCCTCCTGCTGCTGCCCGTCCTTCCATCCCCCCTCCAGCTTGTCCAGCTCTCTGTTTTCTCACCTCCTTTATCCTTCTCACCCCATCATCCCCTCATCCCGCTTCCAGCTCTTCTTATGATTCTCCCCCCTCTACACTGCTCCAAGCTTCCTGTCCCATCCCTATATCCCTCCTCTCCTCCATCCTCCCTTCCCTTCTTTGTCGCCTCCTCTACCCCGTCCCCTTCCCCCAACCCCCCTCCGGGTTTTTTCCTCGTCCCTCATTAAACAGAGGAGTCATTGGAGTGTCCTGTCTCTCTCCTCAATTAGCCTAATTAATGGCTTTTAACAAAGAAAATGGCCCAGGAAACGAGTTTATTTTCCATGGAGTCGGGAGAGAAAGAACCGGAACTGTTGGGGGGGGGAGTCTGAAGTACAGGGTAAAAAGAAATAAAGTCAAATATAGAAGAACAAATTTGAAATGAAAGTCAAAAGGAGATGTAGAAGAAGAGGGGGGTGAGAGAGGAGTCCTGGCTGGAGCACAAAACATATTTGGTGAGTTGCCTTCAAGGTCACGGCTGTTTTAAAAACAAACACAGTAAACACATATGCCTCGTCCTCTTGCTTTTTCAGTCTTGTAGAGAAATCTGGGCTGTTTTTCCTGTTTGCAAACACCCATAACCAAATCCAGACAAAAGCCTTGATCCTATGGATGACATGGAGATGAATGCACAGTACAAGCGTCTGGAGGAAGAACTTTTTAAATCATTTTTAATGTGAATTAAAAAGCACCATTAGTCTGTTTGCTGGAACCAGCTGGATAGTGGCAGTTTAAAAAAAAAAAAAGAAAGAAAAAAGCAACATTACATTATAAAAAATGTAAGTATGAAGTGTCCGCAGCACATAATGGAAATAATTTCATTAGAAGATGAAATAAGCTGAGCAAACTCACACGGACACACAGCTGTGATACTTGAGCTCACTGTGTGTGTGTGTGTGTGTGTGTGTGTGTGTGTGTGTGTTTGTTGTGCACGGTGGATGCCACTCAGAAAGAAAGCAGCTAATTGCCTTCCTACCCTGTGGGTGTTCAGCCTCTCCTCTCCTCAACACGTACACACACACACACACACACACACACACACACACACACACACACACACACGACTATGACCTCAGCACCCTTTATCGCTACGCTGAAGTGACTCCCACTAAAGTTCAGCCGTGAATTATTAAATGCAATTAATCAGCGTGGACCAGGGCCACGTTTAATTGACACAGGCAGCGGGCTCACTGTGTGAGTGTGTGTGGGCATGCGTGCAGTTGCGTGTGTGTGGAGGTTAAGGGAAGAGTTTGATTTGTTTTATGTAGAAAAATTAATGATTAACTTTTTTTTTTTGTAACAAAGGTCCAATTACACCAGAGTGCATCTCCATTTACTGAACAGTGTTACTTTGGTCTATTATGTACACTCATATACGTAGACATAGAGCGTGTCGGGGTGTCCTGGAAGAGTGATCGCTCGTCTGTTGCTCTTCCTGAGGTTTCTATCATTTTACCCTCCTAAAGGGAGTTTTTCCTTATCTGAATGAAAAGTCGAAGCAAAGTTGCATGCTGGCTTCCTGTCCACTTTAGGATCGATTTTAAGATTGTGTTGCCTGTTTTTAAGATTTTAAATGGGTTGGCACTTTCTTATTTATCAGAACTTTTACATTAAGTTGTTGTGGGAAAACGCTTGAAATATTTACTGTGTTTATTGGGAGTTGTTTCTTATCTTCTCAGAGAGCCTGTGCTGGTTCAGGAACGAGTATTACAGCGTTACCGAACGAGACCTTGCGTGTTGTAACGGTCTCTACAGATAAACTCTGTCTGTTGGTGTTTCACTTTATTTATCTCTGCTACATGTTTGCCCTCTCTTACTTTACTTATTTTATTCTGCTCTACCCTGAACTACCCTGTGATGAGGAACTCCTGTGGTTCGTGGTCATTTATGATTTGTCGGTTCCGTTCTGGACCAACGAACAAACAAACTACTAACACTTGATGTGAACGTTCAGTGATCTTACAGGCTTACATCTCTAAGACACCTTTCCTAAAAGAATCATGGGTGTCCTGCTCACTTAACACTACTGTGAACTGAAATATGTTTCACATGTTCATTATGACCAACAAAAATATTCATAGCACATCAATTTGTTTCTTTATTTAGCTTTACACATTATAAATAACATCTCAGGTCCAGAGCCTCTTGTTGAAAACCATCTGGCAGCCTTGCGTCACATAATCAGTCAGTTATCGCCGTCTATCCATGCACACTCTCACGCTTTCTCTGCCTTTCTCCTGTCCTCGTACAAGACTATCAATCACAGATCAATGATGACGGCCCTGTCTATTCTGCTAAGCCTTATTGATCTTGTGCCCCATATTCTTGTCCATTCTATAGACGCTTCAGATGTTAGACATGTCCTTTACGAGGTCAGTAGATAAATGACTGAAAGGAGAGGCAGAGGAGAGGAGTATGAATGAAGATGTGGTTTGTAATGTACTTTTATGTCCTGTTTCCTTTCTTTCCTTTATAGATGAGCTGTTTCACAGCAGTAAAAAGCTTGTCATCACTATCAAGTAACTTCAGTATTTTTCTACCTCTGCCTCGATCAGTGAGTTTGTGTTATTTTGTGACTTTGGTGTTTTTAACCCTTTAAAACACCAAAGTCACACAATATCACAAACACAAACTAACCGACCAGCAACTCCTGTGTTCTGCGAGGTAAACTGTTTTATCAATGGAGTCGGGTGGCTTTGACAAGAGCGATATAGTGACTGTTGTCTGGTTAAACAAAAAGGAACCTTCTCTTTAAAAAAGGTCTGTCTCTGTAGGGATCCTTTCCATAATGTTGTCAGACACTAAAAATAACAATCTGTGCCTGTCGGTGGCAAAAACAAGAACTTTTAGTGGACGTAATTTGATGGGGCGCAATTGCCCACAAGGATTTCGCTCGTGACTGCAGCCCACTTGCTCAATACTGGACCAATTTCAAAAAATGTTGCCTCAGTTAGTCACACGGTGAAAGGACATGAAGTCCAGGTTGCAAAACACCAAACTTAGTCTTTAATCATCCGTAAGTTTCCTTAACCTGAACCATGTCAGTGTGACGACAAATTTGACTCAACAACATACAGCTCCCTCTGTCCTTAGACCCTCTAGTCGAACGAGGAAAAAGTCCTTCACAAAACGTTTAACAGGGACAAAATGGAAGAAAACTCAGGAAGAAAACTCAGGAAGAAAACTCAGGAAGAGCAACAGAGGAGGGATCCTCTGTCTCTCCCAGGACGGACAGAGATGCAATACATGTTGTGTGTACAAAATAGACCAACATAGTAAAACCACAGTATGGACACTCAGAAAATAATTAATATATATATATATATATATATATATATCGCAAACTAGGCCTATATGAAGAACGTGAATCCAGGAGGACTTGCATTTTTCGCCAGACATAACCTCCTCTCCACTATGGAAAACCTCCAACAGGTGTGAGGCAGTTCACACAGTTCACACACAAACACACAAAGGGAGAGAGAAAGAGATGAGAGAAGAGGAAAGAGAGAGGTCACAGGACAGCCGAAGGTCCAGCGCAGAGACGAAGTGAAACGAGTGGACAAGGAGGGGACACTGGGGAGGAAGGGGGAGGTCGAGAGAGAGAAATTCATTGAGATTGACACCAACCCACCCGGAGGATAATGGTTACAGATACAAGCCTGAAGTCATCGAGGAATAAAGAAACTAAAGTTAAAGAGATGTGTCTGTATTTAAAGGCCTCAGTAGAGTCGAGACTGCTTCTCTTTGTCTGTGTTGCTCAACCCTCGGCTCTAGAGGGTCCTCTAGTGTTGGCTTTCTGACAAGGCATGACAATAGACGGCATTAACATGCAATGGGTTTAAGAGTAGACCAACCAGCTGTCAATTAAAGGGGGAGATAAAATTATACATAAATTTAAAACTCATAAAGGGACATTTTGAAAAGCTGAAATTCAGGAGGTGGTAGTTTGTTAAGCAGATATTTTACTACGTTAAATGTTTTGAGTTTGGTAGACGTACGGTCACTGTTTTTATCACCTTTTTGTAAAACAATTGAATCCCAATTAGCTGTTTGTGTCACTGCTAATACATATCTATTTTAAGTGGTAAAATAGGTAAGGTAACACAAGGTGACTGACCAAAGATGAGTATTTAGTATTATTGCTAGATGTTCTGTTATTTGGTGGACAAAGTAATAATAACCTGTCAGCGTAGTGTAATACAATTCAAATCACCACAAACTGCAGCCTCTTAAATGACGTACAGTGGAATGAACACCCCTCTGTAGCAGTTTCAATAAAAATTTAACATTATAACATTTATGAGGGGAGGATTTCTTTCCGGACTACATAAATTTTGTGTACGATATTAACTGGCAACTGAAAGTGTGTGGTGTGTAAAAATCATCCTTTTTACATTATAGCCTGCAGGTCTTTGAAATCAGCCTGGTAATCAGAACACATATTTTGAAATTTAGAGGACATTCTCATTTTGAATGATTACTTTATTTCTGTATTGTTTGTGATTTGCTGACCTCCAACAAGCTAGAGAGGCAAATTCTGAACTTCCCTTCAAACGCACCTGTTAATATTTTTATAATTTGTTAAATATTTTGCATATTGCAATTTGCCAGTAAATTCGCTGCAGAGCCTCACCCACTCCCCTTAAGAATCCTGCGTGAAGCAAAGTAGAAGTTGTGGAAGAACCTTTTCTTCCTCATTAACGTGAATACGGCATCACAGGTACAAAGAAGACAGATGTTCTCAAGACCTCGCACGTCTCTGTAGAAGAAGAAAGCTCACAGTAATGGAGTGACAATGTGGACGTCACTTTGGTATTTTCACCTAAATAGTTCCTCTTCTCTCCTCTCCAGAGAACGACAGATTGAGCTCCCTGGTGTTGGAAGTGATAGACTACAACATGCCTCTCACCACCACCTACATGAAACAGATGAAGCTGCAGTGCATGAGCAACAACAAGGTACGTGGGGTCACCGCGACAGAGCTGCATGTTGAACAGCACAGACACTGTATCTGACGCTGGGCTCCAGAGTGAAGCTGCTGCGCCACATTTGAATTTGTGCTTTTTTGTGTCAGAAAGAATCTGCATTGTGTGTATTTCTATGCACCCTGAGACCACAAGAATTTCCTTGAGGTTGGACCATATAGTAAATCTTGACGCTGACAACTTGCCTTAAACCAGCGGCTTCACTTATAGACTCGACCATTGTTTGTGACTGGCGTGTAGGAGGAAACCAGGAGGCCAACTAATGCCTCTGTAAGAAGAAAACTCCCACACACCGTCTTGTAATTAAAACACTGTAATGAGAAGAAATATCTGTGTTTCTATCTGCCGCTCATGAAGGTCAGTGGAGCAAAACCATTTCTTCTTATTAAGTTTGAGACTATATATATTCTGCACACAGTGTACTATATATAACTGAATACTCTAGCTTCCAAAGATGTGAACAAATTATCTGAGGAAATGTGTAGACAAGCGGGATGATCAGTCACTTTACATATGGATAGGAAAAACGTAATCCATCAATTCATTACCATTTATTTAATAGATGAATCAATCAAACATTTAGGCCACAAACTGCCAGAAAAGTGAAAATGCCCAACACAAGTTCCCAGTGCCCAAGTTCACGTCTTTAGTCAAATACTCCTAACTATCCAATGTACTATGATGTAAAACAGAGAAAAGTAGCAAGTAGCTGTTGTCGAATAATTTTCCGTATATCGACTAAATGATTAATAATTTTAACAGTAAAATAATGTTTTATCACAATAGGGATAGTAAGTGAAGAAGTATCAAGTGACATTGACATTGGGACTTTGAGGTTTTTAAAGTCACGCTGGGGCTCCTGGAGGGCCGTCATTTGAACTCTCATACACACACATACAGTATAGGATAGTGTGTTTTGATGCTGCCGTTTTACTTGGAAAGACGACCTCTAACCAAGTAGAACGTGCGTAGAGGGATTGGAATAGAATTTCTCTTCTAACGATGCATCTTAATGTAGGAAAACTCTGTGCTGGAACAGCTGGACGAGTTCTGAGGTGGTCAGATCAGCTGCTTCTTCTTCTTCTTTTGTCGATTGATGCTGTCTCAGCTCGGTACTTTAGCAGTGTGTGTGTGGGTGGGGGTGGTAATTGGTATATTCCATTTTGTTCCCACCAAACCACCACCACCGCTCCACCCTGTACCACCATGACTATCAGTACCACACACAGTCAATCATATTCCCTGTGTGTGTGTGTGTGTGTGTGTGTGTGTGTATAGATAACGGGTGGGGGAACAGAGGGCTGAGTTCGTTCCAATTAAGCCAGGCCCCTGAGCTTCAAGTTAATTAGCTGAGGAGAAAGAGGGAGACGCTGAAGTGCCAATTTATACTGGGATGCCAATATATCTGTCTGTCTGTCCAAGACACACACACACACACACACACACACACACACACACACACACACACACACACACACCTAGTTCAATATGTTCACCTTGCTCCACACTTTCCTCTTGTGTTTTGCTGTTTTCCGCATGTTATTCTCACTTAAATCGAGCATTGTTGTTCAAAGTTATTATTAATTTTTCTAAAAGCTATTTGAACCCTTTCACCTTTTTCTTATTTAATTTGTCAGCCATACCTTTCTCCATTTGACATTCTCACCGACCCTTTAACTCCTCCTAATCATTGCTTCTAGTTTAATGATAAAGGAACTGAAGTGTGTTCTCTGCTCTAAATATAAAAAGTCAGAATCAAGTGTGAAAATGCCAGGTCCTTATTATGCCTCTAGGATTTGTATTAGTCATAGTGAAACTCTTGAGATCGCATCAGAGCTTTAGGCTATCCTGGCTAAACTGTTGAGTGTCTATGGGATCAAGTAACATAATCATGGTCCCTCAGGCAGCTAGGACTAGACTGAAACTAACCAAGTGCATCAAGGAGGAGTAAGGGGATGCCTTTTCCAAGCTTTGTCTGAGGGAAGGCCCACAGTCTCTTGAAAACGCCTGGTGTAGAACACACTATAATGCAGCTGTAAGCAGATAAGTAGTCTATTAATGTACAGTATCGCTCAAAAGTCAGTCCATCCCTCACTTTTTTGTAAATATTTGATCATATATTTTCATGTGACAACACTGAAGAAATCACACTTTACTTCTACAAAGTAAAGTAGTGAGTGTACAACTTGTATAACAGTGTAAATTTGCTGTCCTTGTAACACTAACGAGTCACATGACATCCGGGAGGGAAAATAGCTAATTGAGCCCAGTTTGGACATTTTCACTTAGGGGTGTACTCACTTTTGTTGCCAGCGGTTTAGACATGAATGGCTGTGTGATGTGTTATTTTGAGGGGACAGCAATATTATTATACAAGCTGTACACTCATTACTTTATACTGTAGCATTGTTACATTTCTTCAGTGTTGTCACATGAAACGATATAATCAATTTTTTTTTTAAATGTGAGGGGTGTACTCACTTTTGTGAGATACTGTATTTGTCAACAACTATATCTCCTAAAAAGTCAGACAATAAGTCTTTCACATAAATATTTGAAATAGGATTCCTTGAATTTGTGGAAGATATGTACAGTATTGGTACAGCTCAATACAACAGATACCTTATATTTACATTTAGATGACGCTTTTATCCAAAGCGACTTACAATTGCTATATCTGTCAGAGGTTGCACGCCTCTGGAGCCACTGGGTTAACTGTCTTGCTAATATACTTAAATGAGGCTGATATATTGGTCGAGCTACTTAAAAGTACTCTGTTATGCTCTGGATTCTGTTGCTGCTGATTTCTTTTGGAAGTCAACTTTTGATTTGCGCTGTTTGTTCACCTCCCCGTCTCATCCACATCCACCGAAACACTCTCATGTGATAAGTATTTGTCAGCTCAGACTTTTCAATCCCGTTTGTGGAAGAGTTAAGGTGAAGTTTTAGCAGACAGTATAGAGTGTGTTTATGCATTTATGTATGTGTGTGTGTGTGTTTGTGTGTTTGTGTCAGGCTTTACTTGGGAAAGATTATAGTGTTTCGGCCCAGAGGAGCCTGGACTGGAATAGAGGAGTAATGACTCACTCACCTATAGAAACAACATAGACCATGAGGGAGCATTAGGTTCAATCTGTGTGTGTGTGTGTGTGTGTGTGTTGGGTAAGACAGTTGAATAGCATTTTGTGAAAAAGGTCACAGTCTTTTGTCTGGGTTGTTTTTCTGAAGAAGCGAGAGTGAGAGAGGATCATGTGTACTTTTACTCAAGAGAGAAAATGAGCCAAAGGTAGACAGAAGTAGAAGAAAGAGGGGGGGTGTACTGCATATTTGTGATGTGTGAATCCTCCACCGGCCCCATTAGCACTCATCCCAAGCCTCCATTCATCTGCCCATCCCTTTATCTTTCTCTCCATCCGCCCCCCGTCCCAATTCAATAAGAGGAGGAAATTACCCAGGATGCTTCCTGGCAGGGGTTGGGGGGAGTGGTAGGGGAGCTGCTGCAGACAATGTAGAAGCAAGTGAGGAGTGAGAGGAGAGGAGACAAGAGAGGGGGGGGGGGGGGGGGGGAGGAAGATGGAGAGATGGCAGGGCGGTGGCTCTGTCTGGCTGAGGGAAGGAAGAAGATAGAGAGGAGCAGGAGGAGGAGGAGGCAGAGTGAAAATGAGGATGGGAGTTGGTGGATGTGCTCGGCCGGGGTGAAAATATAAATGAGAACATTTGTAGGTGACTGTGGGATGGAAAGGGGGAGGAAGAATGGAAGGAGGGGGTTGGGGGAGGTGATTGGGGGGGAGGTTTGGGGAAATCTGAGAAGGAATTAAAAAAAAGAATGAGGTTGTTCATTATCGTTTATGGTCTCCCCTTCTCCCTCTCTCTGCCCATTATTTCAGCTACCTCTAGAGGAAAGACATTTCATTATTTTTGGGAGGAGGTGTGTGTGTGTGTGCGTGCAGAGAGGAGTTAGGTTGGGGGTTGGTCTATTATAATTATTATAAGACCGTTAAGAAGACAGCAGAGGGAAAAAAAACTACATTTGGAGATAAAAGTCTTGGCGGTACAACAGCTTTGATGAAGGGCTGAGGACAAAACCCTTTGTCCACAGTTTGTAGGCTGAAAAATAATACTACATGAAAGCAAATCTACCACCGGGTTTTCTTTTTCAAATCTCTTTACGTTCATTCAGTAGCTAAACATTAGCCTGGTCCCAGAACTTCACTGCTCACATCTGGGATTTCTTTTCAGCAATTCAAGTGATAATCAAGTGAAAGGAAACAGTAATTCAATCTGATGCTTAGGCTCAGTAAACGAGATGCATCTAAACTTCATCAACACACTAACACGTATCCAACAACCTTAAAGTATATGTTTGAGCCAGATGAGCTGTTTGAGTTAGTTTGTGCTCAGCACTAGGGCTGAACGGTTTTGGAAAGTAATCTAATTGCGATTTTTTTTTTTAAACCAACATTGCGATTTAATACGCGATTCAATTCAAATCAGTTTAATTGGCAGGAATGTATATCAACAATATTGCCAAAGCTACAAATAAATTACATAAGAACAATTAATTTAATACATTTCATTAAATAAGTAAATAAAACAGTAAAAGTTGTGTTTGAATGTAAATAAAAAAATGTATAATAATAGAAAATATATAAAATATATAAATATAAAATAAATAAATATTAAAAATAATATAAGCGTGTGTGTGTTTAAAAAAATATTAAAAATAAAATAAATAAATGAAACAGTAATGTGTGTGTTATTATAATAATATATTAAATGACAGATGATTAATTTTTAAGCTCTTTACCTTCTATATTATTCAAATCAGACAACCAATAAATCAGTGTAGTATGACCAACAGATAGATATACATACACTGCCAGGCCTGTGTTATGATGAAATTAGGTGATGCTTTAATTGCATGAATTATTATTATGAGGTAATGTTATTATAATATGAGAAAGAACATTTGA